CAGAAGTGCTTGTTTCTTTCGCTGCCCGATTATCATTATCTGGCTTTATCGTTTTTAGTCCCTGCCCTCCCCCCCCCCCCAAATAGGCTTACATAAAGGCATAAAACTAACTTTTTAAAACATTAAATATTTTTTCGATAATTGCCATTCACATCATAAACTTAGAGTATGCTCTTATTATTCATTTTTACCAATTTGGAACCTAAACCACCGATAGCATTCATCTTCAATAATATTTTCATCTTCATCAAACCAAGTTTTTTCAACAAACACTACATTATCATCACGATCCACAAGAATAACAGTGCTTGTTCGAGTGCCATAAGCTCCATGCTTATCAAATTTCGGTATTCTAATAGTCATCTTGAAATTTGAATTTTCGCCAGAATGCGTGGTACTATCAAAATAATAATAACGTTAAGTAAAAAGTTTTAGCCATAAAATAATAATATAATGAAAATACCTAAGCAATTGAAATAACCTCTTAATTAATTGTTCTTCAGACTGTTCTTGCTCACAAATTGTTTTCATTTCATTAATACCAAACTTTACTTTTGGCCAAGGTTCATCTAGTAAGGAGTTAGATAATCCGTAAATTTCTCCGGATTCTAAATGTTCAATCTTGCTAAATCCTCTATTGGACAAATATTCCATTTTTGAATGCTCATCACTTAAGTCCACACTTATTAAATTAAATCCACCATACATATGAGATTCACTTTTAATAGTATTTAGGCATTGTTCTAATGGATAATTAGATTCCAAAATTGTTTTTATTATGGCTCCACGAGATAATAAAAGTTCTGAGTCAATATTTTGAGGTTCATGGTAATTGGTGACCGCTGCAAATCTTCCTGCTCTGTTTATACCAAGCCATGTTCCATGAACAGGTCTAAACAAATCCAACCCGCTTAAGATATTTGGGTTCCACCATGAAGCAAGTGAAGTTGGCCGATTAAGGAATTCATCTCGATTTGCGGCAAAAATACTATAAAGAGAATGTTTAAGAATAAAATTAAATTCCAAAAAAAAAAACAAACAATACATCTGCTTATATAACAATATAAATTAAAATGAACAATTACAATTTATATTTTAGAGAACTATTATCTAATTTCCAGAATAATACGCACATCAAATTGAATTTTTTTCTTGGGGTAAATTTGATTGGTTATATATCAAGAATATATTAAGAGTATATTAAGAGTATATTAAGAGTATATTAAGAATTTTTTTACAGACTTACTTTGGAAGGACCCTATTTATATATGTATACGTAAAATCAATGCAGAGTATCGATATGTAGGGATGGCATGTGATTTAAATCACGATGATATAAATCACTGATTTTTATTTAAATCATTTAGTATTGTGTTTTGGTAACCTTGTAGAACACTATGTCATGTAAACATCGGAAATTCTATAGATTTGAAAGTCGCATTCAAAGTCAGAATTTGAATATAAAATAATTTGATTACGTAATAAGAATCAATGATTTAAATCATTTGTAAGTAAATCATTTTTAAATCAAAAAAATCGATTTAAATCATCATCCCTATCGATATGGCAAAATGATTTGCAAATATATTATTTATACTTACATGATAATTACACATGATAATTACTAAATACTACAAACTATTTGGGGGATGATGCGTTAATTGCCCCCAACTTAAAGTGTCTAGTTTACAAACTTGATCTTCACTGCGCCCGTTGCCCCAAGTCCCCAATAGCTCAACGTCAGAGCAAAAGATATATATAAATACGATTAAATTTTTACTGAAATTTTCATCCTTCCCTATTTTTTTTTTTTTCAATTAAATCCCCTTAAAATTATAATATGGCTGCTCCTGGTACTCAAAAAAAAACAAAAAATTGGCATATTCGCGATGACCCGATTACATGGAATAATTGGTATAAACATGTCGATTGGATTCACGCAATTTTACTCGGTTCATTACCATTGATTGCACTTTATGGCCTTTTAACGACCGAAATACAAAGAAAGACAGCGATATGGTCTATTATTTACTATTATATAACTGGCATGGGGATCACTGCAGGTCCGTAAATTTCATTCTTGACAAGCCACAAATAACTGTCGTTATTTGCAAGTAAGAAATTCATACCAGGTTTAGTCAATCATTTGGCCTAGATTTGATTGAGAGTTAAATAGAAAAATGATCGACAAAACCTAAAACAGATTTCTTGCTTACGAACTTATTGCGGATCATACCAAATATTTGTCTCTAACCTGAATTTCTTTAAAAAAAAGGTCACCATAGACTATGGGCTCACCGTGCATATAAAGCATCTCGTCCGTTCGAAATATTTCTCATATTTGCGTGCTCCGGTGCTGTAGAAGGATCTATTCGATGGTGGTGCAGAGGACATCGTGCTCATCATCGGTGGACTGATACTGATGCAGACCCTTACAACGCAAATAAAGGACTTTTTTACTCTCATATCGGCTGGATGCTTCTAAAACAAAATCCAAATCGCGTCGGAAGGGCTGATATTTCTGATTTAAATGCTGATCCTATTATAATGTTTCAACACAAACATTATTGGTTATTCGCGCTTGTTATGGGATTTATATTTCCCACTATGGTCCCTGGCTTAGGTTGGGGTGACTGGAGTGTAAGTAAATTCTTCATAATTTATGTGATTTTATCAATTTGTATTAAATTATAATTCATTTATAACTTAGGGAGGTTACTTTTTTGCCGCTGTATTGCGTCTAGTTTTCGTCCATCACGCCACGTTCTGTGTTAACTCATTAGCTCACTACCTCGGTGACACCCCATTTGATGATCGTCGCACACCACGTGACCACTTCATCACTGCTATCTTAAGTTTGGGCGAAGGATATCATAACTTTCATCATGAATTTCCAATGGACTATCGAAATGCTGTTAAATTTTATCAATATGATCCAACAAAATGGTTAATTAAATTGCTATCATATTTTGGTGCTACACATCATTTAAAGAAATTCCCTGAAAACGAAATACATAAAAGCATGGTAGTAATGAAGCAGAAGAAACTAGATAGAGAGAAGTCGAAATTGGATTGGGGTGTACCATTGGATAAATTGCCTATTTACACTTTTGAACAATGTAAGTTATTTTACTTATTTATTTATTTTTAAAATAATTTCACCCATTTTTAATTAACTTTAATTAATCAAAATAAACTAGTTGTGGACAACGCAGAAGAGAACAGTTGGATTTGTATTGAAGGAATTATTCATGACGTTAGTGAATTTATTGAAGAACACCCTGGTGGTAGATCAATAATAGCAGCTTCAATAGGGAAGGATATGACAACATCTTTTAATGGTGGCGTTTATGATCACTCTAATGCCGCCAGAAATCTAATGGCATCTTTGCGCGTTGGTATTATTGCGGGTGGAGGCGAAGTTGAAAGTCGTAAAACGAAATAATTTGGCAATATTACCAACTTTGCAAGGATTGACATGATTTTGAACAATATGTTTTTTTTTTTGTTACGATTGAGATTCACTCATTTTACTCATTCTGTTAAACAATATTTTTTTTTGTTACGATTAAAATTCACTCATTCTACTCATTCCGTTAAAACAATATATATTTTTTTTGTTACGATTGAAATTCACCCATTCTACTCATTCTGTTAAAACAATATAATATTTTTTTGTTACGATTGAAATTCACTCATTCTACTCATTCTGTTAATGGCTTTTTTTTGATTATATAAATAATTTTCATACATTACCAATTATATAGTAAGTGAAAATGTTACGATGTAGGAATAATTAATAAGAAATAAATAATAAAGTAGTCACAGACTATTTAGATAGGGCTTGCTCTTTAAGCAGCAATTCACAGTATAATTCAGTTTCTCTTAATTATTTGATTTTCTCAAAAAAGACCAATTTATATTACTGCTTTCAGAAAATATTATTTTGGGGAAACCGTTTCACTATTTACCTTGGTTCATAGGACGGCTTTCATATAATTGGTTGTTTAAATCAATTTAATTTTACATTATTTACACAGTTTAAAATGCTTTTCAAAAAAAATAACACTACAAAAAATAAATGAAAAAAAACGTACATAGAAGGTATTATTAGTGTTGTAGGACTCCATTATTGAAAATGATCAAAATCCCTTTTTGTTTTAGAGAAGTTAGCATGGTAATAATCTCGTTCGATCTATTTTTAAGAAGTTATTATAATACTAACTTCGTTAAAACAAAAGGGGATTTTGATCATTTTCAATAGTGGAGTCCTAGAACACTAATAATACCTCTTATGTACTTTTTTTCATTTATTCTTTGCAGCCTTCTATGTCCGATGAATTTTACCGGACACCGGACATATAGATTTGTCCGGTGTCCATTGATCTATTAACACATATAGAGTAAAAATTGGCTGTATATTACTGTCCTAATTATTTGGTTTGCTTGACAACCCACTTGTCCGATTGCTCAACCCTGATTCTTTGTAGTTCTATTTTTTTTGAAAAGTACTTTAAACTGTATAAATAATGTAAAATTAAATTGACTTAAACAACCAATCATATGAAAG